GAAATGTCCTTAGTTGTTGATTAATTATTGCGTCTTAATTTCATGAATCATTCATTAACAATTGCCATATTTGCTAATTTATGGAATTAAAAACCGACTTGTGTTTAAGCTATTAAAAACGATTAAAAATTAACAATAGTCCAAAATAGCTCACTGCTCTAGCTGGGTAGACTTGTAGAGAACAGGACTTCAACAATCAATCATTTTTTATATATTTTTGGTGATAACCGATATATCAAATTGTGATTGTTAACTCAACAGTTTTTTTTTCTGTATTGGAGATTTTTGCGACTTATTCATCCACTTTTTTTTTTAGTACATTCATTAGCAATTAGATGTTTTTTTTAAGTCGAAACCGTTTACTTTTGGGGGTTTATATTTTAATTCGATGACCATCTTTGTTGCGTTATATTTCAAAAAGCAAATACCTTTTCAGTATATCCTTATCTAATATAATGATTTCAAAATAAAGCGTCTTTGTAATTCCCCAAATGCCAACTTTTTTTTCTTAAGGAAAAAGTTCTAGAAATACTGTTTGAATTTATCACTATTTATTGCAGAGATGCTTTATAATCGAGATCCGTTAAATATCTGATACTATTGTAAAACAATTTTCAAAAAGAATTATAAAGTTATTTTACGTACAAAGGCGTGTGAGTGAAAAACTTAAAACGAAGATACTGATGTTCAAAGAAAAGTTGAAGGTGTTTTACACTTAAAAAATATGCAACATCAAGCAATATGATTATGTAATTTTTGCCGAATACCAACGTGATATGAATGCAAGGCTAATATAGTATAAAAGTTCCAACCATTCAAGGTATTCCAAATATAACGGGTTTACAGAAAGCAGCGACTTGAAGCCGAGTGTACACAATTTTATTTACAAAAAATTTCAAAAGAAACTGAATGATATTCAAACAAATATAATACATAACATAAAATAAAATTAACGCAGAGTTCATGTTTACAGGCATTCGTTCACTTATATACATTTTTCTTACTGTTTTATAAGTTACGTTATGTTTTAGTCTCTACTCAGGACTTAAATATTAAACAAGCAGTAAACGCAGATGTAGGTAACAATTAGTAGACGTCTGCCAAATTATGAATCAAAGCAAATATAATTTAGTTGAAAAACTGACCAAAAGTATGTTATGATTCTATTTTCGGCAAAAAATGCATACCATTTAGATCTACCACACCAAGATGAATAGTTTCGTGTGGTGGCCTATATTTGATCTTAGCAGTTTTAGTAGCCGTGACAGTTCCAACCTCGAGATTAATGGGTAACCATTAAACATAAACTGTGCACAATAACAGATGATGTCACTGAGGTATATACGAAAGAATTTAAAAAATGTGCTGTTTAGTTGTGTTGCAAATGCGCATTTTATTCTTATGTTTATTGCAACCATATTTAGTATTCAGTTTGGCATCACTTTAAATCATTCCTTTTGACGCAGCAGATCCTGGCCTGCAATCAATTTGGTAGTTAAAAAATTATTTTGCCTGAACTAATTCTGAACCCGATTTTATATTCTCACAAGGACTACAATAAAAGTTTTAATTAAATAGAACCAATCGATCATTCATGTTTTCTGTGCTTAAATAGCGTTCTTCAAAACGTATATAAGAATGCGCCTGCATTTTCTGAGGTTTATTTTTAGCCTTTCATTTCCTGACAGTATTGATGAGAAACTTTTGTGTCGTGTTCGAGTAATAATTTAACCCCAAGATAATATAGGGACAAAACATACATCAATAAAACAAGTAACCAAATTAGGAAATTGAGAGTTTATTGACACAAATTGGCCGGTGGTGGTAAAATTGCACAGTTAATTTTAATTTTAATTTATTTAGAATTTTGAAGCATCAGTTATTTAAGAGCTACAATAAACAATGATCTATATACATATATTTAGAAAAATGTATATTTACATATTCCCACTTTAGCTGAATTGTGGAACATTAAGGCAATAATACCTGGAAATTGTGAAGTTGCTCAAACACAAGATTACTTATAAATGTGAGAACATTTGATTCAAAAAATTGTGGAACACGATATGAACATATGATGATTAAGAAACTTAATAATTTTTAATTACATTGGATAATGTTCCTAATCCTGGAAAACCCGCTAAACATAAGACAATTAAAAGCAAGGTATTACGTAAAATTCAATCGTTTTGCTTCGTTCCAGTTTCATTACTGATAGACATTGACGTGTTACAAAAAAAGTATCTCTTCGATCCTGTTCAGTTTGAAAGCAAGTTTCAAAAAAAATTAGAAATGGTTTGATAATGAGAATTGAAAAATTCTAGTTAACGTAATGCAAGCAAAATTTCACTGTGTTTAATGTGTTTAAGTTGTAAGCGTTTAATAATTTCACTAGTTTACATATTTGCAAAACAAAACTTTAAACTTCCATAATCTTGAAAAGTCCTTAGGGATTTGGTGCTGTAGAATTATTTGATGCAAGAGTTATTTAGAGATATCAGGATTTTCAGAAACCGGGCAAAATTTATAATAGAAATAAAATTGGATCAGTTCAGTGATAAATCACTTCTTTGCATTCATGTCAAACGAAATTGGTGCAACCCGCAGACAATTTCAGAAATGTTATAATAAGTACATTAAAAAATTAAATTTGGGAAATTTACAGTGTTACGAAAGTTGATAGCGAGGACTTTTTCGGAGTTGGGAATTAAAAAAAAAACGAATCTTCAAAAAACTTGAATACCCACCAGTTCGTACAACTGTAACCACTTTATATTTCTTCTGTTTCACCATATTTTCGACACAAATCAGATGATTTTCATCAACAGTTTAAAAACAAAAATTCGACGCACAATAAATCAAAACAAGCCACACTCTAACACACCGTACGCGCACACAGGGTTTAAGAAAAAAATCGTTCGTTCGTTTCGCGTTGCGATTTTCCCGCAAATAAAGTGTTTTTCAAATTGTTTCAGCTCCGCTCGGACGTTCTCCATGTAATCTATTAGCGAATAAATATTTATAAAACCGGGAGTAAAAATTGGCGGTGATTCATACATTCACCAGAACATAGTGGGTCTAAAAATTCTATTGAAGGTCTATCTATTTACATGGTGGACGCACAACTAGTGGGCTCTGTGGACTGTATATCGGTGCGCTAGAGGTACGCACATCTTTGCGTAGTTGTTATACGGAAAGCTTCATAGAGCAACTAATAATAATTGCATAAACACGATCGAAAATTCCATCGTCAGTGCTGAGAGTGCACTGGTGTGGATCTTCGTCATGTTCTAGAAAGATTTTTTTTTCATCCAAGTTTAAGTGAAAACGGTTTTCCAGAACTTGTAACTTGAGAGCAGAATAAAACGAATTGTTTGAAGAAAATTATGAGGTAAAATGAGCGATTCCAAAGCTAAGTATATACTGTGGTGGTTAGGGTGATTGTAGTATGGAACCCAAAGTTCGGTTAAAAATATGTTAGTAACATCCCCTTTAACACCTCCATACAAAATATGTTTCGTTTACGAGCAAGTGACAAAAGAAGGCTAAAGTAGAGAATTCATACATGATAGTTTCTAAATCACCTTATCTATAAAAGTCTAACGGCGCGAGATCTGGCTATAATGCCGCCCACTCCTATTACATTCCTTCTTAAAATATGAATTTTCCTTCTTTAATAGAAACTGGCCGGTTACTTATCATTAATTTACTATTTGGGCTTCTTAATATACTATAATTTGAGTAGGAAAATTAGGATTTTACTCTCACACTCACTCACACAGCATGTGAAAGTGATTATTTATTCCACACTGTTAAATTTTTTGGGTTCATATTTTCACCTAAATTCGTGAACAAAAAACGTAAGAGTTTCTGTTTGGTTGCGGTGCCCTAAATATTCTTTTAGTCACCCAGTTTTAGATTTTGTTTTAAAATTTTAGATAATACTGAGGATTTAGGTAATACCAATGACTTGTCAGTGCAACTTCTACAAGTTACAAATTTAGCTTTTTAAGCACAACTGTAAATAATCAAATCTTTGAGCACCAGTTGATTATAAGCTCTATTTTTGAACGGCGTATGAGGAGAGCAGCCATTCACATAAATTTCAATAAATTGAACAAATCTCGTAATAATTAAATATGCGGAGCAATTAATTAGCCAGTACCTACACTTGTAGTAAAGGAAATTTAAAAAACCGAAAAGATTTGCTCCATATTGTTTATTTATGTAAAGGATTAACGGTAGTATGATTCTCACACATTTTGTCAAGGTACAGTCGTATTTGAAATATGTGTATTGTTCAATTCACACTTTATTCATTATAACGAACGCAAATTCAGATATAAAGTAAATATTTTCGACTCGTAAGAATCCGTAATGAGCAATGTTTTTTAATTGTTATCAAAAAGAATATATTTGTGAGCGAAAGCCAGACATGCAAAGCGAACCAAAAGCGTTCTACTCGGAAAACCTTTAATGAATGTAGGTAGTTTAATCGTTAAATCATTATTATATCATCATTAATTGACGGTATTATTGTTGATGTTTATGGGTAATTCAGTCGCTTTCGGAATTGTGTCGAGGAGATTTAACACTGCAAATATGCGCGGTGCTTTTATTTAGCATATGGCGTCACAGTTTAAACGAAACCGAAATTTTACACGAATGAATTATAGGCATATTTTACTAGTGATTTCTCAGTAATATTATTACTTGTAGTGTGTAATGAATAACAAGCATTTATAATTTAATGACTAAGGAAGTAATTGATCTAAAGTCATTGAGTGATATATATGAACGTGCGTCATTTTACACTAGTCTTTATTAAAACTGACAGCAAATTGCTGCGGATTTGGTCATGCAAAATAAATTTACGTGCGGTTCTGCAGTCGGTTTTATTTCTGTATTAAGTACACTCTTGAGAAACACCCCTTAATTTCTCGCAGAATCACCTACATTCATTAAAAGAAATTCTTCACTACTCTACAAACAGCACCTACCTCCTTCTTCCTCTGAATCAGACATGAAGGTTTCCTGCATGGCTTCAGGAGCCTGAACTCTATACTTTTCTTCTATGGTGGTTGTGGTAGACGTAGTTATGTTTGTTATGGTAGTGACCAGTTTCAGCGATTCTATTACAGTAATGTAGCCGAGTTTTTGGGCGATGTTAAGGGGAGTTTGACCAGTCTGCAATGAAAATCATAGATCATAAATATGAAACATTAGTCTATTGTCTTCGGTGAAATAAAGTTGAACTTAATGTGTTTATTAATATCCCATTTGAAAGAATTGCAGCGTGTTCACAGGTTCTTTAAATAAAATGTATTCATCCGGCCATCGCTGCGCCCAATTTTATCCATCCAACATCTACTGGCCCTAAATGTTCAAAGTGGCTTCATTTTATCTGTAGTATTAAGTATTTAATTCTGTAGCAGTTCAATTCGCTGAAGTTGAAGTAATAGAGCAAGTCAAGCAAACAAAATCAGGATTACTGGGAGAAAATAAAAACGCAAAGTGGTAAACTTTAAACTTACAAAGGAAAGCTTGCCATTGTTAAGTTCATCTTTTACATGGAAATTAAAATGCGATTGCAACACCAGAAGTAGCAATCTAAACCCAAACTGGACAAGGAGGTTAATTATCAAAGATCCAGAAAGTTCGTTACAAGCCCTTGAAAAAGTGGAGTCTAAATTAGACATTTGTAACAAAACTGGAGTGTAAAATCGACAGTGAAAACAATAGTGATATAATGCACAGAAACATAGTAAGGCAAAACAAAAAAAAGACACACTTTTTGGGAAGTTTTGGATACATTAAGTTACAAACCAAAAGTAATTTGGGACACGTAAAAGCATCTAGGAGGAAGTAAACCATCCACAGTTAATTCAAGTTGAGCTCGATATTGGATAAATATTGTTCAAGACTAAGTAGTTTCCGATGAATATGAAACTATTGAAAAATATCCCGTAATGATACAAAAACTCTATGATTTTTAAATTTCCTTACCGATGTCATAGCATTGGGATCAGCATCACTCTCGAGCAAAATATTGACGATGTTCGTGTGTCCTTGTTGTGCAGCTTGATGTAATGGAGTGTACCCCAAAGAAGTGGAACTCTTCACTTCTGCTCCATTTCGTAACAGGAACCGAACCATATTCGTCTGTCCATAATGGCAAGCGATATGCAACGGTGTGTATCCGGCCTTAGTTGCGGCATCAACATGAGCACCATTTTTCACCAAGACTTCCGCTACTGGAACTTTGTCTTCTTGGGCACAGAGATGGAGAGGCGCTAGCCCATTCTGGAAGATCGAAAAATATTGTTATGAAAACTGGAGAATTAATGCAACGAATGGAAATAAAAGCAGACTTAACTAATGAGAAATTCCCACCTTTGCTTCATGATTTGGATCAGCTTTGTGTTCCAAAAGCAGTGACGAAATATCCACATGTCCTTCCTGGGAGCTGAGATGTAAAGGAGTGAAACCCGCCTTCGATTCTGCATTCGGTTGAGCTCCATACTCCAAGAGAGTATTAGCGATATCCATTTGGTTTTTTCGCGCCGCAATATGCAACGGGGTATGACCATTTTTAGCTAAAGCAATATGAGTTTCTATAGTCGATGAATGTTTGTGTGAAAATAAAGTGAATACTTTGCATGTCTGCACTTTAATAGGAATCCCGCTGTTTGAAATTGCTTAATAATCTACCATGTTAGAATATAAACGCTAATATACTGATATCAAGTATCTCGGGTTGAGTACATGTCGAAAATAATCAAAAGGTTCGAGTTGCAATTCGTATAAGAATGATAACAATTCTTAGAGTTTGTTGTGTTTTTTTCATAGCTTCATTGGCCACACGCGTACAGGAAAATCAGGATTTACTGTTGTTCCATGTTTTCTCACCTGTAGCATGTGGAGATGCCCCTTTATCCAATAAAAGCAATGCAACATTTTGATGGTCATAATGGGATGCGACATGCAGTGGTGTAACACCATTTTTGCCCTGAGCGTCAACTGGAGCTTCTTTTTGCAAAAGCAGTTTTGCTACCTTGAGGTGTCCATACTTTGACGCCAAGTGCAGAGGTGTGAAGCCTTTTTTCGTGGTGGAGTTTATTGAGGCACCATTGTCGATTAGAACACTGGCAACCTTGAACAGATGAATCTTAAATAGTAGATAAGTTAATACTATAGGAAAGAACGTTGTAATGTAGGTGGGTTAATTAAGAAAAGAAACATGAACCTGCGGAACTATAAATTGGAGAAACGCATGCCACAAACAGGAAAAAAATACATTTTAAATAATTTCTATTCTTAATAAACCACGCTTTCACGAACTATTGAAAGTTAAAATAAAGTTCACTAGAATGAGTTGGGGACGTTATGCAGATGGCGAGTTTTGGTATTTAAAATGAATATCAACACTGAATGAGAAATAAAACAGCAAATTTGTGGTAGTGATCGAAACTCTACGTAAAACAATCATACATTACCATTAACCCCTACGTTCCCAACTGGTTCGAAAGTAGGCTTAATCAAAATATTATCATCATTTTGTGTAGCCAAACTTTGCGCCTACTCGAAAAAATTCACGCGTTTCTGTATTGTGTGAACAGACAGGTGCAGAAGTAAAAAAGATGCGAAATTGGAAAAAGTTACAAATTTATTAATATTTATGGTATTAACAGCAACAAGGAATTGTAATAGATCCTATATTCTTGTATGGCACATACTTTTGCCTAGCTAATAAGCTTTCATCCACTTAAACTGATTTTTCTCAACGAACTGTAAGCATATACCTTTTGAAACTTTGCATTGTATCAATTTGTTTGAGGTGCTACTGATTAGGTATTTGTCAGGGATTTATTAATAAGACAAAAGTAATGCTATATTATAAAGTGGCTAAATTTTGTGGAGCATGATTTAACAATTTTTCTTAAATATGTATTCATTTATTTCGCTGCTGTTCTATGTGAAAAGTCTAATCAAAAATTCAGCTAATGTAAGAATTATCAAATAATTAACTTTTACTATAACTCTCCTGCAAAAAGTGGCATGTATTGCTTTAAAATATGTAAATAAGTAAAACATTTGTTGGTAATGCGACGCAGAAGTTCCAAACAAGGTACAGAAATGGCGTAAAACGCGAACCTTTTAATGAGATGATCCTGAACATTTTTATGTTGCATTTAGGGGAAACGTTTTTGCCTAACTAATATGCGACTTTCTAATCATCAAATCAGATTATCTGCGTTTTAGTAGCTATTAACGTTGTATATGTCTTCTTTATTATAATATTTTTTTCAAAGTGTAACACACTTCCGCTGCCAAACATAAAAACCAATAAAGCATGAAATTACGTAAATAATTGCTTGTTAACGCATTTTATAAACAAAGAAGTCCTATTTGCAAAAGAGTATCTGCAATAACATTTATTGTCATAATGATATTTATATGAGTGACGAATTAACATAACATGGTAACCATTTTCCCACCGATGAAAGTTGGAAGAGAAACGCAAAATAATCCAGGAATAAAAATTACAAAAAATGCAAGAACACTTGTTCGATTTTCCTATGCAGATCTTTTTTATTTGGTAAGTTTGCAAAAAAGTTGAATAACATTTTTAATATGCCAAATAAACTTTATTTAATCAACAAACAACATTGATGTTAATCATTAATCAATCAGGACAATTTTTTCTGAAAAATTTAAAGTTAACTCCGAACGAAATAACTTTTTTAATAAAATCTAAACATTTTACACAATTTTTACTCCTCTTGTAATATTGCGCTTAACCCGAATCCAATTACGGAAACATCAACGGCGCCAAAAACCTTTTCCTATCTATTCCGGTTCACATAAAATAGACAGTATTTGCGCAAAACATGAACACTAATCAACCATTTCAAAATTAGGTACATTTTATGGTACAAGAATCGTGATTAATTGTTGAAAATGAAAATGTAATTGCGACATGAACTTTTGCTAATGATTGTTCCTGTTTCTCAATTTATCTGAATATGTTTAGTTACCAGTCGTAATCTTATTATTGAGTATTTGTAATAATACTTCAATATTTAGCATTGAGAAACGTTAACACTTAAGCCAGATGTCTTTTGACAAAAACAAACAAGCTCCGTGTTTTTTAATAATTAACTTTTGCTTGCTTTGCTTTCACGTCTGTTTATGTTGCATATGATTCAGTTACTTTTTCTTCTCACTGTGACTCAATGCTCCTTTCATCTCTTATTATATCTAATTTCTTACAGTATTTTTCTATCATTACATACATACATTTGTCTCCAAGAAATTCCATACAAACAGGCAATGCAAATGCGTTTTTGAGGTGTAAATATATTTTGTTATTTTTCCGTTTTGTGCATATAAAATGCATAATTCTTTTCAGTAAAGGAGTAAGATTCAGTTCCTTTGGTGTCGAATCAATGGGTGTGCGATCAATGAGAAACAATAGTCTAAGTTTAAAAACCTTATTTCAAAGGTTTGTATTTTAAAAGGATAATAATACGTGCTTAAAAATTATTTTTTATTGTGTACAAAATATAATTCGGTTGTCTTTTGTAAATCTTTAAACTTGAAAAAGCAATAGATATTAAAAATTGAGATTTATTATTATGAAAATAGCATTTTCAGCACGCTGTAAATAATTACAAATGTTTTCATCGTTCATAGAACAAATAATGTGTTTTTTCGCATATTTTAAGATTTGAAAAGTTTAAATCTGCACCGCCTCCTAAGATCTTTGACCAACACAGATCGCACTCGGATGTATAACAGAATGCTAGAACCACTTCAATGCATCTTGATTATTCAAATTCCATCACATTCTAATTTTGTTTGGCTATATTTTTAAAAACTACATGAAGTATTGACATCTGTTACTATATGCATATGGAATGTTGAACGTTAAAGACTCTAAGACACGCCCAGTCATGCACTCCATCATAAAACTAAAACGTTAGCTAGATTAGATATTCTTTACTCCTAGCCTCCCAGTACTCTACAACGTTCCCCCAACGAATATGCTTTACACTTTTTTCATCTAAAACACCCTTTACCTCGTCTTGGCCCTCTTTTGCCGCTATGTGCAACGCTGTGTACATGTCTTTGGTGGCGTTGTCCACTTTGGAACCATGCTGCAGAAGTAGCATAACAATGTCCACGTTTCCAAGCCGCGATGCAATGTGTAGCGGTGTTTGTTGTTCTCGAGCTCTTGCGTCTACTTGAGCTCCATTCCGGAGAAGGATTCTAATTATATCAGTCTGAAACAAATATAACATTTTAAGCCGGTTTAAGAGTTACATTATCTAACGATCTGTCGTCAGCACGTAAAGTGCATAACTTCATCAGACTATGGTGCTGTGTTTTTGAAATTCTTGCTTTAAACTGTATAATCAGCAAAGAATTGCATTATTAAAAACTAAACAGAAATTGCGCGATCCATGTGAACAGTTTAGAAAGTTACCTTCCCACTCACACATTTAGAATTAACTGTTATAAATTAGCTACCTGATTTGCTCTTGCTGCCAAATGCAAAGGAGTTTCTCCTCTGATGGTAGGTGCATCAGGATTAGCGTCATGTTGAAGTAGATATATAACTATATTCATACACCCCATAAAACTGGCTACATGCAGAGGCGTCAAACCTGATTCGGTAGTTGCACCAATGCCTGAAAATACGCGAATTGGTTACAATAATAAGTTACCAAAAAATGTTCCAAAATCATATATAAATAGTTATTTTTTCATACTCTAAGAAACAGAGTATTCACTTACTTGCCCCATGCTTCAATAGTAACTCCACCACCTTTATCCGATTCTTCTTACATGCTATGTGAAGGGGCGTAAAACCGTTTAAAGCTCTTGCATTTGCGTCAGCTTGTCTGTAATATCATTATCATAAATCAGAAATTACATTTCAAAAAATAATGTTTGCAAATAAACGTTGATAAAATACACAAAGGTAACAAAGCTCTAATCGTATAATCTGTTGAAAAAGGAATATTGTACACTTTACTACACTAGAAAAGTTCAGCTAATTATTTAAAATAACCACTGACTAGGGCCTATAGGCCCAAACCCGCTAATTTGGAATAGATAGTGTCCCATTGTGGATCCAAAAATTACCTAGGTTTCTATTGAAAACTCTGATATCTCAAAAAGCCGATTGTTGGAAAAACCCTTGAAATACACAAAAAATATTTAGAAGTTTCTTACCTATCTAAAAGCAGTTTAGCAACTCTCACGTGACCGCAATGTGCAGCAACGTGAAGAGCCGTCAGGTAATCAACAGTAACTTCATCAACAGGAGCTCGATGATATAGTAGAATCCGGGCCGCATCAACATGATCACCTTGAGCTGCCATGTGAAGAGGCGCGAGACCATTCTGAACCAAAGAAAAGATCCATTTAAAAAAGTTTTCCATGCTATTTCACAAAATGTAATACTAATTTTCATCCAAAATAAGTAATTAAGTAAGGATAAGATATAAAGGTTTGAACTCATTTAAATTAATCAGAATCTATCATACATATTTGTATCTCAACGGCATAGTAATGAGTATTGAATTTCAAGTATAAAATAATGATTTTTAACTGATTCTGCGGAGGAACAAATATACTCAGACTATCCATTATCAGATTTAAGTGTGTAATTTTTTTTATTCTGGATGTTATCAGTACAATTGATAGCACTTTGATTCACACTTTCAGATAACGGCGGAAGTAGTTTTATAATTTAATTTAACAGTGCTCTGATTTTTTTTTCTACCACATACATAGAGCAGTTTTAAATACACATTTAACTAAAATTCGGAATTTTTAGGCCAAAGCAGCCATTGCATATTAGTTTTCTTTTCGATTACTTCCGTCAAATAAGTCACAGAAGCTGAAGGATGGAACTTAGAAGGTAAACTTTAAAAACTAGAAAATTTGCCAAATCAGCAAACAGTGGCAAGTTTAAGGTCATTTTGACCATTCCTTCATTACGTCCAAAATAGATAACAACAGCTGAAAGTTTAGTAGGGCGCTAGGTGAAAGGCACACATATCAGTGTTTTTTATAATTTGCATATTAATTTTTTCTTATTTATTTTTTTGCTATTCTACGTAGTGAAAATAGCACTTGCCCTAACTCTTACTGTAGGTGAAAGACACAGAATCTGGTGACTTTTTAAACTGTACTTATCATTTTGTATTCATTAGCGTTTTGATATCGTTCGGGTTTGTTTACTTAGTATTGAATTTTTGCTTGCGCTTCTAACGAAGTTTTACTGTTGCCCAGCTGTAGGTACGTGTAAACATCGGGACCTGTTCTGTAGTTAAGTCTACATTAACGATTGATTGAATTATCGTTAATTTGCTATTTGAATTGCACAATGATATTCAAAGTTGTAGTTTGTTGATAAATGTCTATGCCCTTTGAATTTTGATCAGATATAATTGTGAGGAGAGAATGATATTTAAACTCAAATATTCACCTGCCCCTTAAATGCGTTTGCCCTCCTTCTACCTCACATGACAGTAAATATTTACTTCACTAGCCAATTGAAACACGTTTTCCATGGGCATTTGTATTTAATATCACATACTAAATAATTAAAAGCATATAAAGTTTACCTTTGTCTTCGAGCTAATAGGCGCCTCCTTCTCCAGCAACATATCAACAACTTGCTCATGTCCACTCCTTGCTGCACAATGTAATGGTGTCAATCCGTCCCTTGTCTTCGCCTCAATTGTTGCTCCATTTTCAAGTAGGAGTGCCACCATATTTGATTTACCTAAAGCAAACACACAAATGGGATATTCAATTACGGAACCAATTAAGAAAGTGTTATGACATGCAAAAACTTACCCCACTTGGCGGCCACATGTAAAGGAGTGATATTGTGTTTGGCTGCATAGTTAACATCGGCTCCTTTTTGAACGAGGAGTTTGGCTATTTTCTGATTGCCATAGTGCGAAGCTATGTGCAGTGGTGTGAATCCGGATTTTGATGTTACATCTGGATTGTGCTCGTTCTGTAACAATAAAAATAGTTTTGTCCACTCAATTTTCTCAAGTATGATCAATTCCTTACTTCCAAGAGTAACTTAGCTGCCTTCACATCGTCCTTCTTGGCTGCTATATGCAAAGCTGGAAGTCGCACTTTTCCTCTGGTATCATTTTCTAAGAGCACAGTCACTACCTTATCATGCCCTTGCTGCATAGCGACCGCAAGAGGTGTAAATCCATCCTATATGAACAACAAATCATACCATCTAAGTAAAAATTGATCTTTGCTTGTTCCTCTTGAAAAACCTTTACCTCTGTGGATAAGCTTTGATTGGCTCCATTTGCCAACAAGTACCGAACAACGTTATCGTGGTTTTCTTGAGCGGCCATGTAAAGCGGAGTAAAGCCATTTTGACTTTGTACATTAACAGTTGCCCCGTTCTGAACCAAGAGCTTAACGACTTCCTCCTGGCCAGCTAGCGAAGCTATGTGAAGCGCTGTATTTCCTTTTTTGGTTGCTGAATCGACTAGCGCACCTCTTTTCAGTAGCTCTTTGACTATTTCTACGTGGCCATCTTTTGAAGCAAGATGAAGCGCGTTTAAGCCATTCTAAAGAACAGGGGTTTGATATAATATTTTAATTTTTGAAATTAGATGTAAACTGCTCAACAAAATAGACGTTACGCGCAAAAATTTGACTTATTTGGAACTGTATAAGTTCTGCCTGCTTAGAGCGATTTGAATTCTGTTTGAAGCGCTATTTGGTGCAACTTTTTTTCAGTTAGTGCGTGTTTTTGATGGAAAAATGTGTTTCAAATAAAGTTCCTACAGGGTGGCAAATGAAAGTGCACTATTGCTGAAAATTCCACAAGCTCTCTTTCTCTGCCAAGACCAAAAAGTTAATTTTTTGAGACCACCCTATAAATAGAAGAGATGGCCGAAAAATTCAAAAACCGTTTCGAGGTATTTGATTTATCTTTAATCTTTTGTCGTTGAGATCCAAAAAAGTTTATTTGTGGTCAAATAAGAGCATGTCGAACTTTTTCTATTTGTCACCATGTGGAATATTTATGTGAGATGCTTCATTTTTACCACAACATGGACTAGCAGAACACAAATGCTGCTAAACAACGCTTCGCTAGAAGCAATCAAAATTTATCCGGTTCCAAAATTAGGGAAAAATTGGCAGTGCCGCGTTCAATTTGTTGAGCAGTTTAGTTCCAAACAAAATGAGGCGACCTCTGAACAATGTTGATTACGTTTTTTTCATTCAACTATTGTATTAGAAATGTTCTGATTTATCTAAAAATAGTTTAAACTTACTGCATTGCTGGTGTTAATGTCGATATTTGATTTTAGATGCTCTAGAACTTTGTCCAGTTGACCATTGCGCGCGGCGCGCAGGAAAGACGTATTTCCGTCAGACTGAAAGTATAAAAAAAGTATTTGTTAATAATGAATTATACACTTTGATCAATTGCGTCCATATACCCAAAGCGAATATTCGGCCCAACCATCAGATTAAATTACAATCGAAAATAAACGTAGAAATGGAATAACTGGCTGGCTGTAAAGTTAGGAAACAACCAAAAATTTTCCGATTAAATGATGTGAACTATAGGTATAGTACCATAGATAACTTTGCGAAACTAAAAATATTTCGATTCTTAGTAACTGCATAAAAGAATCAGATAAAATGCAGTAAACAACATCAGAACAAACGGATTTTTCTGTGTTTGAAAACTTCTTTTAGCAAAAATATCTCACATAAATTGAAAGCTTCTCTTTGCCTACACTTTTTTAAAGCAGCAGTGCTGATAAAACGCAAAATTTGCGCACAAAATTTGAATAAAAGAATTCTGGATTTAATTCCATCAAAGGGCATTGATATGCTTTTATATTAAAAGCATTGAAATGGCAAAGGTTATCCTAGAATAGAACTTCAATATATTTAGAAAATGAAAATAGCAGATAATTCGCCGAATGGACAAACAATATGCCATTTAGATGTTGCCTTTAAATCAATAAATTGAGAACTTGATTCATAATTCCAGAGGGGGTAAATTACACATTATTGTCCACGTATAATTAATGTTAGAGACAGAAAATATTTAAAATAATATAGAGAAACTCAAAAATATGCAATAAATCATGTAGTAGAATAGGTCAGTAATACTGATACTCAAAAATTGCTAGTGTTGCCTTATCGCGTTGCTGGCAGTGTTATTTAACTAATTAATTTTCTGGGTCTAGACGTTAATAATCCAAATACCTTAATAATTCCACCGCATACCTCATATTATACAATAACTATTTATAAACGAATTAATAGTTCAATCGCGTTTTAGCTGACCACAATTATATCGGTTTTATTTTCCGTGACTACCCTTCCTGGGACAACACGAAGGGCGCCGACCTGTCTAAAATTAGTGCATAAATAGGGTTTGGTTACTTCAAATAATTACTTAGTCACCTGATTCTGTAAAGTTTTCATTTAATATGACTATGTCATGTTACAGATATACAGGGTGTTGTATGTGATGGTGTGGGGTTATATTTTTACATTTTTAGGGAATAAGTGAGCACCTTGAGCGAAAGTAATATACTTATGACACTTATAAAAAGGTATAATAGATCTAACTTAATCAACACCGCTTAACAAACTTTAACATATTATTTTCTTGCAATTATCAAAACTTTTCAGTTCGTTTGAAATATCTATTTCGCAAGATTTAGAAAATGAGACATTTGTATACTTGAATTTTTCCTTAATTTAAATATTTTTTTAACTATTTCTGTATCGGTCAAGAAATTTTCACTTAGATATGTTTTATACGTTTAATTATAAAAATCTATTAAATTTGGTTTTTGCATTTGCAATAAGAGACAATTTCTAATCCTTTCCTACAAAATGTCTTCATCACTAACCACTGATGTTTATTATACATGGCTTATACAAAATGAATTATAACTTTTATCACCGTGAAGTATATCGCATAAGAAGCTCAACTCTTGTTCATTCAGCCAGCTATAATTTTTTTATATTCTCTTTTCCCTCCAACGTCAAATTTCATTATCATCTAATTTCTTCATTATTTAGTTGTGTAACAACTACTAAACTCATTGAAGAATTTTTGTTATTTATAGAAAATGTATATAAGTGCTGAGTAAGTTGTAACCGTCTGAAAACCTCTTTAATCTATGGTTGAAATTGAGATACCTTCTAAAATTTGGTGCTATGGCCTCTCATTAAACTATATGAAAATATTTAAGTGACTAATTACTAAAAGGCCTATACAGCAAAATATTAAATATCCAACATGTTAATTTACAGCTGAACAACAAACAAACATATAGGGCAACCTGGTACTTTTATAATAGGGGAGACACCGAAATTCACTTGTCTTTTGACGAAGTTTCCTGAGGGTTGAAATTCATCGAAGGGTGGACAATCCCTACAATTTATCAGTGGCGTAGTAGAATTCTCATGTTAAGAATCGTCGATTTGTTATAAATTTCACTAACCCACATTTATTTCCTTTTTTATTTTATCCCACATTAAAGCATAAGGATATTGAAATAAAACATAAACTGTGAGTAAAGTAACTCAAGAACGTAAATTATTTAAAGCGGTTGCATTGTTGCAGAATATTACCGACATGCTTTAATTATTATTTCGGCATCGAATTAAAAATCCTATTATAACCGAAACAGATCAGGAACTGTAGTGAAAACGCCTTCACTGCAATAAATCCTGCCAGACGAAACTGCATATAAATGTCCTTATTAAAACCTAAGCAATAGGGTGAAATAATATGAATCACCAACAAATCGGGCCGCAATAGTGTCACTTTATAATATTCTTTTCACATGCACTGGTTACCCTCGTCTCATACGAAATGCACCCCATGCACTTGCAGTTCGAGATGCACCAGCCATTAAAAGGCCATTGACGTCCGGTCTGGATAATTCAATGGGTCAAATTGAAATATACAAAGTTTAGCGATAAAATATTTCGAGTTCTGAATTCTTACCAAGATATTTTGAATAAGTGAAACGTAACAAGTTGCATGGATTGGAGACCTAAAAGCTTATATCGCTCCTAAGATCCGACAACGAAAGAGACAAAAATTAATATTGAAAAACAACAGATTTTAAGTGTGCAAAATAGGTAAGAAAGCGTAAAACTGGCCATTGAATTCATCAGTAAAATAATCCTGTACATTGATAAATTGCAGGTTGGCAAAGATAATGACTTCTTATTATAATTAGCTTAAAATTCGAGAAACACTTCTTAATTATAATCTCATTTGCGAGAGATTCAGAAACTTAGCATTAATAATGTTATTTACATCGAAATCGAAGAAACAGGAATGGGATCAGTTCCCTCAAGTTATCTTAGGGAATTATTAGTAATTTCTGTTGTAGATAATGGTCTTTATTTCAAATGCAACTTTCGAGTTTTCATACTAATTTGTATCTGTCTTATGCAGTTAAAAATGTTGTGAAACGCTATAATTGTTATTCAGTACAAAATGCCAAATTCAATATGAATGTAACTAAAAGGAGCATCATAGTTTCGTTCAGTAAAATTTCATATTGAAGTATTTGGACTGTTTATTAAAATATTATAATGAAAATGTATTTTTTACAAATTAAAATGTTACTGGTCAAGGTATGGGTAATTCCTAAAATGTAATCAGGAAATGCTCTAGAAGATTAAATTGAACGATAATTTAAAATCTCCAATGGCCAACTTGAATTAACTTTCGAAAACCGCATTCACCTTTCAAAAACATCCGCAAGAACAAAAAAATATAGATTAGTTAGAATATAAGAAGAAGAAGTGGGACAGATTTTACTAGTTGCTCATGGCAGCCTCAGGATAGAATTACTAGGGACCTTATATCAGATTGATTTATTAGTATTATTTCATTTATTACATTGTGTTCTGGAATTATCTTGGTTCAATTCAGTGTAACAACTGTGTTGAATTTAAGAATTTAGTTTAAAAAAAGAAGCTGGACTCACCATTCGAAAAAGCTTAAAGCAACCTGTCATTCTCGCCAGCACATTTTTCCCTGGTTAAAGCAGTTCCAGGGTGACGATTTATGAATTATAAATGCCTTTCACAGTGTCTTGAAGAGGGCTCAAAAATATTAAAGCTAGATTTTTTCGTTATATGCACAAAAATAGGTCAGCTCGTAGGCCACTACAAGATTAGATCACGCGAATTTTCGACTACTAAACTAGTTGGTCTGGAGACATCCAAAAATCACAGATCAGAATCAACAAATTTTCTGGCAAATCAACACGACGCGCGTTTTCACCCGATACAGCCAGATGAAGTTTAGGGGGTAGTAAGATGGTTTGAATCGACGCGCTCGCCGACACCTTCCGACGTCACCGGTCAATAACGGCGTCGCGACGGCGCGTCTACCATAGAGCACTTCGGATGGTTTTTTCCCGATTGGAAATAAATTGCTAGTTGAGAACTTTCCATTAAATTCAATTAATCCATTCCGCGTTACCTTGTCCTATATTAGGAAATTGTCATCGGAGCATCAGCATGGATTGGGTATTATTTTATTAGCGCGTATGTAAAACTTCACGTTCTTCGCACACTTCGCATTCTATTTTGAATTACTAAATTAATACGCCAAACTTCAAATAGACAAAAAAAAACGCATGAAAATGCATCTATGTATAAGATGAAAATATGAATCTTTAAAACAGAAGTTTTAAGAGTTTCTTGAATTTGAAATTGAAAATTTTTGTTGGACCATTTGATCTTTCTTCCAAATTAAATAGCCAATTGCATTTTCAATTTCTTCAACTAAACTTGACCGAGTTGCTTGAGGATGTTCCACTTCATTTACGAATATAAATGTGGTTTATGCAAGATGCAGCTCCACCACATTTTCCTCGGCTGGTGCGTGCCTACTTGGATACTTGGCCACCCAAAAGTCCGGACTTCAATCCTCTGGAGTTTTCAATTTGGCCTCACATGAAAGATATAGCTTACAAATATTCTATTGGTTAGAGTGATGAATTGTGGAAAAATTCAAGTCATTGTCAACGGAATCAGAACCAATCCCAATAAGTCTCGTAAAAAAACACTGAGTAAAGTGTATCAGTTTCAATGATGGTCACTTTCAACAATCACTTTAAGCAATTGTAAAGAATTTTACATGTTCTAATATTTTACATAGACAATCGCGTGTTATTAAAACCTAGTGTTCGTTGAATCCATTATCTCAAAAACGTGCCGAAATCTAGATACGAAACAAGAATTTTCAATTTGTGTAAAAATGATTTGATAATGATGAAATGATTTTTAAACTGAATGTGATGTGAGACTTACGGGGTGAAAAGATATTACTACCATCTACGCATCAAATTCATCATCTGAAAAATCCTATCGT